ATCAAATTATTAAATAATCATACAAATCCTGATTATGGGATTTCTATGAAAATTCTTGAGCTCTTCCTAAGTAGCAATACTAAAGTTTAAAAAGGGCATGAGACTGTTCTTTATGGATTACAGGAGACTAAAGAATTTTAATAATCAAGTACTATGTGCAATCCTTCACTGGATCCTGGATTGAAAGAAAAATAAACAGAACACCTGTGAACCATTTGGGGGAAATTTGGATGAGCTGTACCTTAAATACTAATACAGTACCAACATCTAGTTTCTTGGGGTTGATGATGTCCTTATAGTTTATATAGGAGAGTATTTCTTGTTCTTGCGAAACAGATGTGTAAGTATTTAGGGGTGACAATGACAGAATGCTTAAAAATTACTTTAAAATGTTTCAGTGAAAAAAATGTGTGTTTGAGAGAGAGAATGCTAAAATTTGTCAAAATATCTACAACTTGAGAATCTTGGTAAAAGGCACTTTTGTCCTTAGTCCCAGTGTGATGTGCTGAGAATTACTGAAATGCATAAAATGTACTTGCACCCCTCCCTGACTTATGTGTACCTTGGACGATGTTACAGGATATTCTGTATTCTTGGGCTGAGAAGGGAGCCATCACTGGCTCCTGTCATCCTGTTAGCTTTCTTCTCAGCTTTCTTATTTTTAAAAATTTAATTTATTATTATTAGTTTTAAATTTGCTATAGGACAGATGCACTCACCAGAGAGAGAGAGAGAGAGAGAGAGAGAGAGAGTGTGTGTGTGTGTGTGTGTGTGTGTGTGTGTGTGTGCTGACAGGTCTGGGACTCGAGTTCAGAGCCCCAGCCACCATGCCACCTGCTGGTCCCACTTCTCAGCTTTCTAAAGTCTTCGGCATCTCTTTGCCGAAGAGATCTAAGTTTCCAACAAGCAATATATATATATATATTTTTTTTTTTTTGGAGAGGTTTTTGCTATACAGCGCGTGCGTTCACCAGACAGACAGAGAGAGACAGAGAGACAGAAAGCGAGAAATCATCCCGGGGGGGTGGGGGGGATGGCCACGCCGCAATCCCTTCTCCTCCATTCTCCTCTCAGGATCTTGGGCACGCATGCACATGTGCCCGGCGTGAGTCTAAGCCACTGGGTCCAATACTCAAACCGCGGTCGACTACATGGGAGTCCTGCGACATAGCCATTACGATAACTGCTGGTCCCCCAACAAGCAATCTTAGAATCTGTAGCACTGCAGTGACCAGCAGGTGGCGTGGTGGTTAAGGCACTGGACAGTCCCACATGGCTATGGTTCCAGTTCCAGACCTGGTAGCTTGCTTTTTCACTTTCTCTCTCTCTGTCTCTCTCTCTGGTCAAAAATTAAATGAATGAATAAATAAAATTAAGTAAAATAATTCTTTTTTAAAAAAATCTGAAGCAGTACAGGTGGAGTTACAGAGCTTAATATTTACTTGGCTTTTAGGTGTATTAAAAACACTATGTTAAGTGCTTTTTACATGCATCATCTCACTTAATTCTCTACAACTTTACAGAAGAAGAAAACAAAAACAGTTTAGCTTATTGTGGCAGTGCCAAAAGCCCATGCTTTAAAGCCACTGTAATATTTTCTTTTCTTTCTTTTTTTTTTACATGCATGGCTAATGTTTTATTCTTCAAAGAATGATTCTAAAATATCACACTGAAAGGTAAAGGTTAAAATGGACAGTTTTATAAAGATAAGTTATAACATATGTGCTAACTACTCAATCTACAAAATTTCAATGTTAGAGCTTATGATACACGTAGTTGGCAGTAGCGCTCAGGTTTTCCAAATAGCCAGACATTGTTTCTCTCTTGTCTGCACAGAATTCTCATTAGCTGCCTTTGGCTTTTGTTGCATGATCTCAGAGTCCCTCTTTTCTCTGAGAGGTAGTCAAGCTATCTTCTTTCCTTTTCCCCTTGCTAATTTCCTGAGTTTTCTTCATGTTTTTCTGGCCGACAAGCTCTCATTGATTTCCACCGGCCGTGTCCACCATGGGAAGGAAAGCAATGCTTCCTCACAATCTCAGCAGACAGAAAAGGCAGAGCCAGCACTGGCCCTCTGCGGGGGCTTTGCATCCGCTCTGCTCCCAACCACTGCGATATTTACTAAGTCCCTTCCTTTCCTGGAAGAGGACAGTTGGTGAGGTATCTAGAAATCACAACCTACATAGCTCAGCAAAATGATCCCAGCGGATGCAAGAGGAATTTTACTTTGAGATGTGAAAATCTAAATAATCTTCGGGCCCGGTCAAGATAATCATCATCTTCCTGATGTGATTTTTCTAGCAGATCTACTTCTGCTGTACGATCACCAGTCGGTCAAAAAGATGATTCTTACCTTTAATATAGTAACAGTCCAGTGATAAAAACTCCCTGCAAATATCTGTCTATGCTTGTTATTTTTACCTTTACTCCAAATATATTTTCCCCAGTTTTTTATTAAAATTCTACATAACTGTTCAAAAGAGTAAGATCAACAGCCTTTAGCCTTTGTCAGTCATTGACATTTTGCCAACTTTGCATTCTCTCTGTCTCTCTTTCTTATACAAATTATTTTTAATGGAAACCTCTTAAGTAGTTGCAGGCATTAAGTTATTTCATCCCTAAATATTTTTGCAGCCATCCCCCAAGAACAATGATATTCTTCCATATAACCATCAAGAAATTACAAATCAATACAGTAACATTATTTAATACATAGCCCATATTTAACTTTCCCTCAGATCATTCTCAGAACAGATGCACTGAGTGAAGTAAATTTTAGCACCAGCATTATGAGGAACTTGCTTTGTGAGGGAGTCTCCTTTTCTCCACTTGTAGGAGATAATTTTGTCCTACCACTTGGAGGATGAAATGACAGTATAACTATCCTTTGCAAATATGGATTCCATTGTGCAAATGCAACAAAGTCTGGAAAAGTAGAAAGCTGCCTTGAGGCTGGTGGTGCTCTCCAACTAAGGCAATCTAGTAATGCCTGAGAGGCCAAAAAGTGTATGTATTTTTTTCTTTTTTGGTGAATAATTATTTAACTTTATTTATTATTATTATTATTTAATTTGACCAGGGAGACACAGAGAGAAGGGGAAAGTGAGAAAACAAGTCACCAGGTCCAGGACTCAAACCACAGCTGGCCAACTGCCGGTCCCAAAGTACGTTTTTTTCCCAAAGGCATTCAATTCCATAAAGTTAACAACATAAATTTGTAAAAATATACATTTTCCCGACTTGGGACAAAAACTATTGACCTTTTAAAATTTAATACTCACTTCTCACAGTTAAAAGAAACAGAAGAGGGATCAGCAGTTAGCGTAATGGCTATGTCACTGGACTACCATGTAGTTGACCGCGGTTTGCGTCCCTAACCGGGTGGCTTAAAACTCATGCCGGGCGCGTGTGCATGCGTGCCCAAGATCTCAAGAGGAGAATGGAGGAGAAGGGATTGCAGCATGGCCATTCCCCCTGGGGGGTGATTTCTCGCTTTCTGTCTCTCTGTCTGTCTGGCGAGTGCATGCGCCCTATAGCAAGAACCTCTCCAAAAAAAGAGAAAAAAAAAAAAAAAAAAAAAGAAGAAAATGAAATAAATAGCAAAAGTTTGTTCCCATACGCCAATTATTTTCTTTCTTCTCTCTCTCTCTCTTTTTTTTTTTTCCGAATTTGCTATAGGGTGTGTACACTTGGTGGAGAGAGACGGGACAGGGAGAGAGAGGGAAGGTGAGAAAGCACCTCCCCACGGGGATGGTCACTCCACAATCCCTTCTCCTCCATTTCCACTTTCGGGATTTGGGGCATGCAGGCACATGTGCCCAGTGTATTTTTCAAGCTGCCAGGTCCAGGACTTGAACTGTGTGGTTGACTATGTGGAAATCAGCTGCCTGAACTATCACGTCACAGGCTAGTCCCCAATTATTTTCCTCTTAAGTGAAAATAAAAATGTAGACCATAAATATTTTAATGTTTTCTGATTTAGTTCCTATGTAAAAAAAAAACTCCCCAAATTACTGTCCTAAAGGCCTCCTCATCTTCGGCTTGCCATCTTCTAATTTACCCACTTACTCCTCAGAGGAGTTATTTCTCTATAACACAAATTTGATTCTGGCCCTCTCATAATTAAAAACTTCTGGACCAACCAGTGGCATGGTTTGAGTCTTGACCTGGTAACTTGAAAAACATGCTGGGTCCATGTGCGTGTGTGCTCAAAATCCTGAAAGGAGAAGGGATGGTGGCACAGCCATCTCTGTGTGTCTGTCTCAGGTGAGTGTACATTCCCTACAGCAAATTAAAAAACAAAAACAAAATTCCCATCCTCTGAAAGTAATGCCGTATTGCCTCACTATCCAATTTCATCTCCTGTGTCTTTTTTTTCCCCTAAAACTCCAATAATAAATATCTCAGCCATGCCTTTCACAGGTTGATCTCTCCTGTAACAGCTCATTTGGTTCATCTAGTAAGAGCCTAATCACCCTGTAAAAGCCAGCTCAAGAGTCACCTTCTTTCCTCTAATGCCTACAGGGCAAGGTTAATCACCCACCTTGGGCTGCTGAAGCTTATATATGTGTGTTTACCTGAACAGTAAATGCAGAATACAGAACATTTACACTTACATAACGCTTTCTCCTATTCCACAGTGGTTCTCTTAAGGACACACCCTGTTAAGTAACTGTTTCCCAGTGCACAGTACAGCTTTTGGCACCAAGGTGTGCTTACGAAGCTCTTGCTAAAGTGACTCTATTTGTATACAGCTTAATCACTGAGTAAAAGGAGTTAGCTACTACTGTCTACTAAATCACGGATTATCCGAGGCCAAGGTCTGGCCACCACTTAGTACTATGCCGTGTTTCCCAGTAGCCACTGATCCAGGGTCACCTTCCCTGGGCTTACCAGTGAGGGGTGGGACAAACTCAATTAACAGAAAATTGGATTTCAGATTACTCTAATAGACACTAGTACCAGAATTTTCCTGAGGTTAAAAGTAAAGAGTTACATGGTACCTGATGAAGACAAAGGGGAAGTACTCTTGAATCCAGCTGCTCCACGTCACCCCGTAGAAGTGAGAACAAAGACTGCAGACCCAGCTTCGGTGCCTCTGGTTGATCATTAGCATTTACTTCCGCAATCTCTTCATCACCAACGGCATGTGTGGGTGCACTTAGTATCTTTTCTTGCACTAATGATGTAGTATCTCCTGAAGAAAATTCTTTAAGAAGAAAATGCCTACATTAAGATAGATTCCTATCATGGAGGAACACCTTGAAACAACAGAACCTGTTAACCATAAAACTTTCAAGGAAAACTAACCATAAGAAAAAGAAACCACATATTATTGCCCTTATTAAATTAAGATTGTGCTGGTATCTCATTTGCTTCTATTAGCATACACATATACAGAGTTATAAGAGTAAAATATTAATAAGAGATCCAAAGAAAAGTACACAGGTTAAGACCTGACTCCAGACTTGATTCTCTCAAAGAAAACTAGATAATTTGACATCTTGGTTTGACAAAAATAGAGCTGCACAGAAAAATAAATGTGTTTATCTTATGAAATAGCTAAAGAAGTTGGCCTTTTTCTCTAAACTCTAGCCCCATAACATTAGAACTACTTTCAGTCCCAGGAAAACAGCTGGAATTCAGATGCCAAAGTCAAGGGCCAGTGAGAAGTTTTTCTTAATAACTTCTCAAAAATCATTAATAATTGTTTGACCCATAGATCCTGTTATGTACCAAATTTTAAAAAAATTCACTATTTTAAATTATAATTTGGGGACCAGCAGATGGCATAATGGTTACGTTGCTGGACTCTGCTCCACGTCACCCCGTAGAAGTGAGAACAAAGACTGCAGACCCAGCTTCGGTGCCTCTGGTTGATCATTAGCATTTACTTCCGCAATCTCTTCATCACCAACGGCATGTGTGGGTGCACTTAGTATCTTTTCTTGCACTAATGATGTAGTATCTCCTGAAGAAAATTCTTTAAGAAGAAAATGCCTACATTAAGATAGATTCCTATCATGGAGGAACACCTTGAAACAACAGAACCTGTTAACCATAAAACTTTCAAGGAAAACTAACCATAAGAAAAAGAAACCACATATTATTGCCCTTATTAAATTAAGATTGTGCTGGTATCTCATTTGCTTCTATTAGCATACACATATACAGAGTTATAAGAGTAAAATATTAATAAGAGATCCAAAGAAAAGTACACAGGTTAAGACCTGACTCCAGACTTGATTCTCTCAAAGAAAACTAGATAATTTGACATCTTGGTTTGACAAAAATAGAGCTGCACAGAAAAATAAATGTGTTTATCTTATGAAATAGCTAAAGAAGTTGGCCTTTTTCTCTAAACTCTAGCCCCATAACATTAGAACTACTTTCAGTCCCAGGAAAACAGCTGGAATTCAGATGCCAAAGTCAAGGGCCAGTGAGAAGTTTTTCTTAATAACTTCTCAAAAATCATTAATAATTGTTTGACCCATAGATCCTGTTATGTACCAAATTTTAAAAAAATTCACTATTTTAAATTATAATTTGGGGACCAGCAGATGGCATAATGGTTACGTTGCTGGACTCTCATGTAGTCAACCACGGTTCAAGTCCCGGATGGACCTGTGTTGGCTTAAACTTCATGCCGGGTGTGTGTGCATGTATACATGTGTGCCTAAGATCCTGAAAGGAAAAGGGATTACGGTGTGGCCATGGGGAATAGCTTCTTGCTTTCTGTCCCTCTGGCGAGCACACATGCCCTATAGCAAAAATCATTCTCTTAAATAAACAAACAAACAAATAATTTGAACCTTTCCTGAAATCTCAGTACCAGTTCGAACTTTCATGTTTAAATTGAATACACTGGTCTGCCTGTGTACATACCTTTAGCTGGTATCACTTCAGGAAAAAAACATTAAAAAAAAAATTTTGGACAGGTTTTTGCTAAAGGGCGCATGCGTTTGCTAGAAAGAGAGAGACAGAAAATGAGAAATCCATACTGCAATCCTATCTCCTCCATTCTCCTCTCGGGATCTTGGGCATGCATGCACATGTGCCTGGCTTGAGTTTAAGCTACCAGGTCTGGCACTCGAACTGCAGTCGACTACATAGGAGTCCAGAGACATAGCCATTATGCCAACCACTGATCCCGAAAAGATCTTTCTTAAAAACAGTGCATGTACCACACAATCAAGGCTGTGTTCCTATCATGTGCCCAGAATCCTGCCTTCTACTGCCCTCTAAATAAACTTATTGCTCTGGTCAGACTAGTTGATACTTCATCTCCCTGGTAAAATATTCTGTGCCTTTCTGGGCAGTAAGAGATTTTAACAGTGCGTATATTTCCCTCCCATCTACGCCTATTTATGTTCTACCCTAGCTAACTCTGTATGAGCCTGAAATCAACTTGATCTCCTCTGTACCCTTTATATGGGCTACATAATAGTAAATTGTTGTTAAGGACTTATTAGATCAAAACTCCTGAAGCATAGGAGTCCTCTTATGTACCAAGATATTCTTTTATTTTGTTGTTAAGGTTTTTGTCTAGAGTATGTGCCTAGAGAGAGAGACGGAGACAGTGAGGGAAAGTGAGAAATCAACCCCCAAGGGGCTAAGGGGGGATGGCCATGCCGCAATCCTGCCTTCTTCCATTCTCCTCCCAGGATCTTGGACATGCACACACACATGCCCAGTGTGAGTTTCAAGCCATCAGGTTCGTGACTCCAATGGTGATCAGCCATGTGGGATTCCAGCGACCTAACACTCTGCCACCTGCTGGAGCCTGTACAAAGGTATTCTGATGATATCTAGGACAGTGTCTTCAGCACTAAAATTCCAAGTGTTTGGCTTCTGTTAAAAAATCATCTACAGGGAACCAGCAGTTAGCATCATGGCTATGTCGCTGGACTCCCATGTAGTCGACTGTGGTTCATGTCCTGGACCCGGTGGCTTAAAACTCACTCCGGGTGCGTGTGCGTGCGTGCCCAAGATCCCGAGAGGAGAATGGAGGAGAAGGGATTGCAGCATGCCCATCCCCTCTGGGGGGTGATTTCTCGCTTTCTGTCTCTTTCTGTCTGTCTGTCTGGCGAACACACGTGCCCTATAGCGAAAAACCTCTCCAAAAAAAGAAATAATAATAATAATCTACAGCGATTACTTATATTTTAGAGAATTCTCTTCTGAAAATTTTATGTCAGCTGATTGGAATACTAGAAATGTACCCTGACATTTAGGTTCTCTTTGATAATCCATCTGCCATCTGTGAATATACATAAGGATATAACCGTTTCTCTGTATAACAGGGAGAAGGATGATTTAAAGGCAAACTCTCCCAGCTAGTACTTCAGGTAGTAAGTAATTAAAAGAATGAACAATTACCACAGATGAAATGGGGATTTAAAAGATGTTATTATATAAGAAACATTAAGGCCTAGGTAAAGACAGAGGCCATGATTATACTTATCATGATGGTGATACTGATGACATAAGCTAGGCTGACGGACATGTCTGGAGATGCAAGAGGAGCTACTTAAAGGCCTCATACATGTCAAATACTGTGTGCTACGATCAGAGTGTAAGTACACTATCTCATAGACAGGTTTTAGGAAAAAATTCGCCTTGTTCATGCTGCTCCCTTTACCTACAGTGTCAGTTTTTAAAGAGCAGGTGTATGATTTAAGATTGTGAACTTAGGTAACAGCAGTTGGTGTAAGAGCAATGTTGCTGGACTCCCATGTAGTTGACTGCAGTTCAGGTCCTGGACCCAGTGGCTTAAACTCACGCCACGCCCGTGTGCATGCATACCCAAGATTCTGAGAAGAGAATCGAGGAGAAGGGATTGCGGCATGGCCATTCCCCCGAGGGGTGATTTCTCACTTTCTGTCTCTCTGTCTCTCTCTGTCTTTCTGGCGAGCACATGTGCTCTATAGCAAAAACCTCTCTAATCAATCTATCAATCAATGAATATATTTTGTGAACTCAGTACTCAGCACACTCCCTGACACAGAACAGGTACTCAAATATGCTTGGAAAAATAGATCGTATGTATCACAGAATACACTTACAAGCTCATATACACCGTGTCACTTGCTTCTCACAACATTATTAACCGAGTATCAGAAATTTTAGATAAGCAACTTAAATCCATTAAAGAGACTGAATAAGCGCAAGGGCTTTAAAGTCAGGCTGCTTGGGCTTGAATGGTAAATCTACTGGTTGCCAGTTTAGTGTAAATCAGTCCTTTAAACTATAACTTCCCAATTCATTAAATGGAGATACTGCTTTACTGTCATATGAACTTTCTTAAAGTTACATTCAGGTTAGCAAATAGAAGGCTCTTCTAAGCCACACAATTCTGCTACCTCTATTTTTTTCAGGGAAGAGCACTGAGTTTTTGGAAGAATGATCTTAGGAAATAAAAATACCTTCACTGTTCTTATAAAAAATACTTTCTTTGACCCAAATGTTGTAGGTCCCTTTTACTATAATAAAGCTAGGTCAAATAAAGAATCTAAGAAAGTTATACCATTATTCAGAGAGAATTACTGAAACGAATCTGACTACACTTTCCTTAAGAGTGATCTTTTCACCTTCTCTGATCATGTTTTGTCTTGCTGAGGTTGGCAGGCAGAAATCGTTCTGCAGAAACATAGTCACCAACACTGAGAGGGAAGCTGTGTGGAACAACCGTTCTGAGGCAAATTGTGGTAAGTCAGATATAAAACAGAATTCCTTTTAGCACGCTTTAAAATTCAGCAAAATGATATGGTATGGTTTAACAATTAGAACCTGAGTCTAAAATCAGATCGCCAGGAATCAAATCATAGTGTCACTTATGAGCAATATGATCTTCGGCAGGTTAACCCCTCTGTGCTTTGGATTCCTCATCTCTAAATCGGGGCTAATTGTAGTACTGCTTGATAAGGCTGTGGTGAGGATTTAAATGAGATAATCCATATAGAGCATATACCACAGTGACTGGCAATATACTCAGTGCTCAAAGGACAAGAACTTATATTTTAAAAATCAGCAAACTGCAGATCCAGCAGGTGGCACAGAGGTTATGGTATTTGGATCCCAGATGGCTGACTGCATGGTTTGAGTCATGGACTCGGTGGGTTGAAAAACACACAAGGCAGGGCTGCCAGGTGGCATGATGGTTAGGGGCTTGGACTCCCACGTGGCTGACCGTGGTTCAAGTCCCGGACC